CTGGAATGAAAGCAGACTACCACCTTCTTCCGCTTGCAAAGCAGGTTGGTGAGGACTAATAGCTTGCGGCTCATCTCTCACACCCCTGAGGAGGCCTTCTTCTTCACTCTCTCCCCCTGCTGCAGACTCTGCACTCCTCTGGCCACCACCCTTTTCTCCACCTCCCTGCCTCTCCTTCAGTGAGACCAGACTACCGCTTCCCCCTCCTGCTGGTCCAACTTGCAAATCAAGTCGACAACGGCTCCCGGTCGTAGCTTCGGCCTCATCTTTCCTATGCGCAGCAAACTGCTGACCGCTCGTAATTTGGGCTTCATCTCTCAGACCCATCCCCTTTCCCGACAACACAGCATCATTCGTTTCCACCTTTTTCTCTCTGACCAAACTACAGCCTCTCCCTGTTGGTCCTGGTTGCAGAGCAAGTTGGTCAAGACTATCAGTTTGGGGTTCATCTTCTTTCACATGCATCCCCTCCCCCGATGACACAGCATCATCATTCCTCTCCACATTCTGCTCTGTGACCAGACTACAACCTCTCCCCGATGGTCCTGCTTGCAGACCAAGTTGGTCTGGATTGCAAGTTTGAGGTCCGTCTTTAACATGCTTCCCCTTCGCCGACCAAACAGCATCATTTCTTTCCACCCTCTTCTCTTCGACGAGACCACACCGTCTCTCTGCAGGTCCTGGTTGCAGACCAAGCTCGTTAGGACCAGTAGTTTGGGGTTCATCTTCTTTCACATGCGTCGCCTTCGCCAACAACTCCGTGACCGTCCGTTCCGCCTTCTTCTCCCCTCCTTGGTCCCATGGGACCACACTGGAAGGCCCATCCGCACCACCCTCCCATTGCTGCGGGGCTACAGCAGATCTCCCATTCCCCGGACCGGCACTTACCCCCTTCCCAACGTCATCCAAAGTCCCAACCTCACCCAAAGTCCCCTCCTCGTCCACAACGCAGTCCACATTCGCAGAACCACCACTCCCCTTCCATGAAGACCTCCTCTTGTTGGCTATGCCTCTACTACTGGAAGCTTCCGCAGTTTGCAACGGAGGGTGCTGAGAAGAAGGGCCCGCGCCGGGGTCATCTTTCACAAGCCTCCTCTGCAGAGACCTCACACCTGCTTCCGCTACATCTTCTGTCCCTTGACGTCTTGGGCCTGTTTCCCCAGGCGAGCGTCCATCGCTGCCACCCACCGTTGGATCCTTGGCATTAGCATCAACTGCTGATTTCCGAATGCGCGCCTTCTTCAACTTCGGCTGGAAATTTCCAGACCGGGGTGCGGCTGCAAAACCGACAGAGAAAAAAGAGCTTGCTGAAATTTCGTCGAAAAGCTGTCGAAACTTTGTTGAAAATTTGAAGTATGAAAAGCTGTACAAAACCGTAACGAATTTGTTTGTTGAAAGTTCGCTGTGCATATGTTTTTTTTGTTTTTTTAGTTATTAAAAAGTCATAGAGGAATTGTCGAATTATTTCGTTGAAAACTCGTTGAACATATTGGTTATTGGGAGGCTGCAGGCCTGGGCAGGCCTCAAAAGGAGGCATCATTTATGTAGTAGGTGAGATAATATGTGCTTGGGAGCAGCCGCATCGACTACATGTCCCTTATACCTTCTCTACCATTCATTCCACTTCTTCTTACCGTGAGGAAGAATGTGTCACATCAGTTACGCCATTTCCTATAAACTTATGAAGGGATCATGCTTGGTACAGTCGGGATCCCTGCCGATGATTCCTGGCACGATTGTCGTGTCGCGAATCATCTGCAGGGATCCCGACTCCGACTACCTTTCATTCCTCTTCTTACCGTGAGGAAGAGCGTGTCACATTAGTGTCCTCTTATTGCGAGTTTGCTTGCAAGCATACGCTACGCTATGCTGCCTTGAGATTGAGAGTCAACGTTGCGAGCATAAGCACCTGGGGGGCAAAAAGGGCAGTGCATGGGAAGTGCTGTAGATGGAAATGGAAGAAGCACATAGTACGTGGGGATTAGATCATGCATGCATGCGCTGACCACAAGCTTCAACCTGCGCTGTAGGCCAGTCGTCCTGTTTGCAACGACCACAAGCATTCTATGGTTTACCTTGTTGAGGAGTAAGGGATCCCAGTGGGTACAAAATGCACCCAGGCTCTTTCCTGTTCATCAGGAAGTGACTACGGTTGCCCGCGGACCTTGGTGCATTGTACCCAGTGGACCCAGTGGGCCCAGTGGGACCCTGTCCCAGAAAGGTAGAATCATGTCCCTTCCAGGGTAAAGGCTCGTTCTTGTTCCCAGTTAAAAATTCTGAGTCTTACTCGTGTCCCCTGTCTAGAGATCTGTTTACTAAGGCAATCGACAAGCTCATTGGCTGACAGAAAATTTACTCTTTCCCCCCCCCAAAGGTAGCCCCCCCCCTAACGCTCAGTTAGAAAATTTACACTCTTCCCCCCCCCCTAGGCAGCCACCCCCCTCAGGCTCAGTTAGAAAATTTACTTTTCCCCCCTCCTAAGGCTCAGTTAGAAAATTTATACTTCCCCCCCTATAGGCAGCCCCCCCCCTAAGGCTCAGTTCCCCGTTATAAACTGAGTCGTACTTGTGTCCCCTGTCCAGAAATCTGTGTAGTGAAAGACTTGTGGGGGGGGAGGAGGGGGGGGGGGAGTGTTTTCTGTCAGCCAATAAGCTTGTTGATTGCCTTAGGGAGAAGCCTTGATGCTGCCATCTGGTCACTTGTTTCTTGCCTGGCGCACTAACCCCTTGATCTGCCAGTATAGGGGTCCCAGCCTTGCAAGATATCTTCATAGCCTACTCCAAAAAAAAAAAAAGTCTGATGCTCCCCCGAATGGATATGGAGCCAGGGCCAAAAGGACCTG